GACCTAAAAGTCATATAAGTTAAGTAATTGATGTATAAGATCATCATGTAACTGTAGTAGTACCTGTTTTTTAGATACAGCTGACTCGGTTTCCCGCACAATCCCCTTATCTTTTGATTTGGATTTTATAGGAGTCTAAGATCATCATGTAAATAAATGTGGTACGTAAATGTAAGAATAACTTACATGTATGTGTCGTAAAACATTTGAATACTACAAGGTTCATAATGGTGTTCAACCTACCTTATCATCTATGAAAATGAGATTTGACGGCCATGCAACATACGATCCTATTGCGTCTCCCACCACTGTTGCATCCGAAACATCATCTGGTATAGGCAACAACGCACCCCCCTCTAAAGTAATATCAACCAATACTTTCAAAAATCCAGCAGGGAGTGGTTTATGGTGAAGTAAGTCTCCCAAAGTCTTATGCACTTTTCCCTTGCCAACCATGCGATAAGTCGGTGACAATAAATAGAGCCGACAAGGTGAAATGCCCTAAACAAATAATGAATATGATTAATGTGTCAATTAAGAAAATTGTGCTAAATTAATTTCAATGTAATATATATAACTACCACAGGAAGCTTCTGCTAAAAATTACAATTGATACTATCTTTGTCACTAGTATCTTTACACTCTGAATCACACCTTTCTGACATGTATCTCTCTTTGTCCTTTTGCAATTCACGAATTTGAGCTTTCAATTCTTCCAACGTCTCCATCACTTCTTTACTGCTAGGATTTTTATTCTTTGGCTGCTTATACAATTTTGTTGGAGTGACACCAAATCCCTTACCCCTCACACGCCCAGAATACTTAGGAATATTTAACACTCGACTTAGTACGCTCCTGCAATCATCATCCTCGGCTGCAATTATAGTCTGGGATATACTCTCCTGAAATATAGATAAAAGCATAAATATATTATACACTTTTGAGTTTATGATAGAACTAATGTTGTACTTACACATTGCTCAAATACTTGTTGAACTTCTTCCTGAACGACTCCATCTCTACCCACACGAGTAGGGGTGTTCATGGGTGCGGGTCGACCCGCAAACCCGCCTACCCAAACCGAACCAACCCACTAATTACCCGAACCCATTCATTTACGGGTATACCCGACCCAACCCGTAACAACCCGTATAGATTTGGTTCGGGTATTGGGTTTTAGTTTCTAAACCCATGAACCCGTTGACCCAACCCGTTGACGTGGCATAATTAATTATTATTATTATTATTATATTATTATTTATAAATTTTAAAGTTGCTATAACTTTGTAAATTGTAACGTACACAAAGATCTTTTGCACTTTCCTTCCAGTTTCCAATCACACATTAAATTATTATTATTATTATAATTAAACATTATTATTAATATTAATCATGCTTGCTTGACTTATGCACTTCTAGTTTACACTTTACTGCCTTTTTATTTTTTTAATGAATCTTTATTAACTAATAATAATTAAGTATATATTAGAAACTTACTAAACTAAAGACAATACCACTTAACCTAACCCTATTTTTTTACTACGGCAAATCTCAAACGTCAACACTCCTCTTTCTCTCACGATTTTTTTTTTCATTTTACTCTCTCACATTCCAATTCCATCTTGCTTTCGAAAATCCACAGTCTATACTTTGACTCTCTCATAATTTATTGCAATACAATAAATTATCTTCTCTTTGTTGCTATTTATCTTGATCCTCGTTATAAGCTTGACTATATTGAATTTTGTTTTACTCGGATGTATGGTGAAAAATTGTCAGAGGATATGTTAAAGAAATTGAAATCTCTCATTGCTAAATTGTTTGAGCACTATTTATTTTTGTATCCTGTTTCTCATGATGGTGGTTCCAATGCCTCATCTTCAAACATTGCCTCTCATTCTAGAATTGAAAATGGTGAAGATGATGAAGATTGGGACAATTTGTTTAGAATGAATATGAAGAAAAAACAATGTGAAGTGCAAAAAAATGAGTTGGAACGGTATTTGGAGGATGGTGTTGAAGATGATTCTCCTACATTTAATATTCTCACTTGGTGGAAAGGAAAAACAAATAAATATCATGTGCTTTCCCGCATAGCTAGAGGTATATTAGCTATCCATGTATCCACTGTATCTTCTGAATCAGTACAGGAGGTCGTGTCCTTGATTCATTTCGTAGTTCCTTGAATCCCTCTACCGTTGAAGCTTTGATTTGTACTCAAAATTGGATCAAATCTCCTAAGGTCATTGATTTAGAAAAAGAGTTGGTTGAATTGGAAAAGGTTGAGTCAAGTATGAATTATATGTTTGAATTTTAAAATCTATTTTATTTTAGTATTACATTACATTATTCTTATTAGTTGTTTGTGTTTACATATATAGAGTTAGCTGGATTAGTTTCTATTGATGTTGGCATTACTGCGGTTGAGCTCAATACAACTGTTACTACTAGATTTTAAGGTATTTTCTAGTGTTGTTTTTTTTCTTCTTCTTTTGACTATTGTTGCTTAAACTTTTAACTGTTGTTGCTGGATTTTATGTTGTTGCTAAACGTTTCATTGTTGTTGCTGGAATCTTTTACAGCTACTGTTGCTGGATTTTCTGTTGTTGCTAAACCTTTCACTGCTGGTGCTGGAATCTTTTATAGTTGCTGTTAGATTTTGGTGCTATTAGACCAATATTGGACCAATACATCTATGTTATTTTAAGACTAAGTGATGTTTATTTGCTTTTGAATTATTTAGAATTTATGAATTTTATGGAAATGATATTTTATGGAATTTTATATATTATTAAGTGTTAATATATATGATAGTTTACGGACCTACTTTTAAGCATGTGCTAGAAAAGGTAACATTTGAGTATCAAAACAACTAATATATACTGTATATTATTATATATTTGTTTTACATATGTTGATATATATTTGTAATGGATAACATTTGAGTATCAAAATAACTAATAAATTTTTATAAATTAAGGTATATTAATGAAAATATATAAATAATTAATGGTGTATATGTACCTTAATATTTTTTATGACAAAGAAAATACATTTCAAAATTTTAATTGTTATATTTTTAATTATTCTATTTTACATGTAGGATTTGTCTCCACTACGTAAATAATTTAATTGTTTGAAATATGCAAAATTATATTGAATTGTGTTATAGATTTTTTAAATTGAAAATAATAATTATTATATACACAACCCGTGGACCCAACCCGTAAATATCCGGGTTGATTCGGGTCGGTTTTTAAAGTAGAATTACGGGTTTGATGATAAACCCAACCCATTGAAAGTTGAACGGGTTGGGTAACGGGTTAAGGCGAACCCGGTCCAACCCAACCCGCGTACACCCCTACACACGAGCAGCCTTCCATAAAACATGGTCCGGAAGATATGTTACATCACTTTTCTCCTCTTCTAACTACACGTTAAGACAGATAATAAGCTTCACTTTCCTCATATTCTAACTATATCATATTAAAGCATTTACATATACTTACTATTTTTTGTTGTAAGCATACATATCCCAAATGCCCTTTTTTGTATGGATACGCGGGTTTTGATGCTCGTTGCCAATTTACGTTACTCACAACCTGAAAAAACAAGTTTAAGTCATATCAGAACTCATGTGGAAGAATTATATATATTATACATTGTTCATGATAAGTTATAATTACATGGAATTCTTGGGTTCTTCGCTTGGCAACAAATGTTTCCCATTTTTCAACTGAAATCAGATCAACATACTTCTTTGGACGCTCTGATTCGACAAATTTTCCATCATAATCTTTAAGAAACTTGTTCGTTAAAAACACTCTAAATCCTCTTAGTCGTTTTTCAGACAATTGAAGATAATATTTTTTCCGGTCGTCATCAATATTAAAATATCTCTGCAAACAAATAAACATACATATAGTATCACTATGCCAAAAAAGACCTTTAGCAGCGCTTTTTTTAGCCTTTAGCAGCGCTTAAAAGCGCTGCCTAAAGTGGCGCTGCTAAAAGTAAAGACAGCGCTTTTTTTATGGAAAAAGTGCTGCTATAGGTTCCCTTTACCAGCACTTTTAGCAGCGCTTTTTTCCCCATTTAGCAGCGCTTTTAGAAGCGCTGCCTATTCCACCCTCCCCTCCCCCCCTTTAGCAGCTCTTTCGGAAAGCGCTTTCTTAGACCCCCCTTTGGCAGCGCTTTTACAAAGCGCTTTCTTAGACCCCCCCTTTAGCAGCGCTTTCTTAGACCCCCCCCCCCCCCTTTCCCCACCTATAGCAGCGCTTTTTTTAGCCCTCTCTGTGCCCCCTTTAGCATCACTTTTTTGTAAAAGCGCTGTCTATTCTTCACAATTTTGAATTTTTTTTTTAAATAATCACATTTTTTATATATTTTCCGGTAAACTTGCTTATAACAATTACATTTCCTGCTTATAATTCAGGCCTTTAATTCAACTCTTTGGCCGTATATATAACAATTACTTTGACCTTATTTATGTGTATTCATCACTTTGCAATATACACAATAACTAAAGTATACATTGTAATTCATCACTTTGCTCATAATCATTTTAATACACATAAACCTGCTTAAATATATTACAACACAATCCGATCCTCAGAATTACAACATCACAAATATAGTCAATTTACATATAATTACGAATCCACAAACTTTACAAATAGATACGACTTCCCGAAATATTTCTTCCATATATTGGTCTTGAAAACGTCATTGTAGGTGGAAGCAACCTTAGATGCTTCTTCTGCCAACACAGCTGGAAAAAAAAACATCACCAAGTTCAGATCAAGTTTTAGAGATAAAATAATAGAGATAAAATAATAGGTAACAAAAATCAAATTAAAACTATTAAATATATGAATGATTTGCCTATAATTACATGCTTACAACATTAATCATAAATAAAAAGTGATTTAAATTCATATTATACCAAAGTGATTAGTTAGTAATAATTGCATGAAAATAATGATGATTAATTAATATTATTACCCGCAGGAAATTGCCATGATAAAGGTGATGGCAGGAATGAGATTGTAGATAGCCGATGCAAATGTTGCTGATGTTAAAGCCAAAGCCTCATAGAATAGATTTTGAAATAAGCTTCCCCTGCAAAATTAATCACATAAACAAACTTTGATTAATTAATCATAATTTAATTCAAACCGACACGAACTACCAATTGAATTGATTTAACGAGATTAATTATAAATAAAAAGTACATGTATGTATCTGGTTCAAATGCACAAATGATACATTAGTTTCTTTACTTATATTAAAACTCACAAAACTAACATTTTTATTATAGTTTATAGTATAAATATTTATTTTACTAGTTTATAAGTGCTTAAATGTTAATAAATTCAAATAAATGAATTTAAATAGTTTTGTGATGTATGGTAACATACCCAAACAAGCTGCAAAGAAAAGCCATGAAAAGTACTCTCCAACTCAGCTTTGGCCTCTTATTTCTTCAATAAGAAAACAAAAGATGAGGTTAGAAATGGAATTAAAAAAAAAGACTTAAAAAAAAGTTGAAAGTATAATAATCAAACCTTTCAGAAATGAGAGCAAGAGGAACAGTAAAAGCTGAACCAAAAGCTAAACGATAAGCAGTAGCAACTTTAACAGTCATTCCATCATTGATGGCAAGCTTGTAGAGCACATTAACTGCAGCATAAGCAAGTTGAACCAAAACCATAAGCATCACTGGTTTCAAATCATTAATATTTACAAAAATTAGAAAACAATTATCAATTATCATTAATATTTACCGAAAAGAATTTTATTATGAATTAAAAGAGAAAAAATTACTCATCAAATATTATCAATTAATCATCAAATCATGACTAAAATCGCAAAGCAGTTATTTGTTAACTCGAACTAACTTATCGTCGATTGACACTAAAGAACGTTTGGGCTGAAAATGCATCATTTCTATTCTATATAAATTATGTTGTTCTGAATTTGGAATGGACCACAATCTTTACCTTTTCTATGTATGGAGTCAGAGTCGAAATTGATTTGCTAGCATCCATTGCTCGGGTTTCCCCTACAACATATGTAGCCACTGGTGCTGGCAGGATATATGCATTCATCAATCTCATGGAATTATTCATAACCCCAAACTGGCCTGCTAATAGAATGTTTAAAAGATAACCATGGATCTCTCTCTTATTGCAATATGTGTACTTTTCAAATAAAACATAAGAAGAATGAGCATGTACTCTTAGTGAAAACAACATAATTATATTGATGGTACCATGTTTGCTATGAAATCAAAAGCGAAAGTAAACAGCAGCAGCAATTTGAAAAAAAATCTAGCAGGACCAACACTCAGCAATTACGAGTCCACAAAGTTTGTAATCGAAACGAACGCGTAATTGAAGCTCACAATACAGGAGATATGAAATCTGATCCAATTGAAACCCGAATACCAAATGTATCCCTCTAACATTTTGAACTCATTACCGACATATGAAATTAAGGCGCAATCGATAACTGAAACATACATATAGATAGAAACACAACCAAAGAGAAACGAACTGTCACCGCATATATGCGATTTTATCAATATCATCTTTCAAGTTACCGCATAGAACCAATCAACAATAACGAGGATCCGAGCAGCAGCAGTGGCTATGAATCCATTACGGATTCGAAACCGAACATCACAACATGATTCTATTTCAAAGGCTATGAGCTAAATAAAAAATCGTACAATGGAGATCGAGCTATAAAACACCATTCTATGATAGTATCACGCAAGAAGTGATTTCCAAAACTAGAAGTTATCGTAAATGAATCAAGACTGAGGAGAAATTCTTTTTCTTATAACAAAACCAGTACAAATTTGCAATGACTTGATAGAACATGAATAGATTGATGCAATATAGTTTCTAGTTCCTACCTGCAAATCAAGAATCATAGGAACATAATTTTTATCTAATTTGACTGCCAAAGATAAACAAGCTATAGCCAACAATTGCATTGTCCAAACTCGCCCCTTCTGCAGGATTACAAACATAACATTAGATCAAAACCAATGCAGGACACAAAAACCTGATTCTATTTATTCATTAACTTAACGGTAATTCATACGCGGAAAGGAACCGATCCATGTAATTAATGGATAGATAAGCACATACCGGACACTCTTTGATCCAAGTCCTTTAATTCTAAGAACAGTCGATTGACCAACTTTACCAGAGAAATCCTCTTCAGAAGAGGCCTCAGCTAACAACCCATTCAACTTAGAGTCAATCTTGCTCAAGATCAGATTCTCAAATCTTGATTTTGAATCCCTTGTTAGATCTTTCTCAGTAACACCCACTGCCAGTATATCTTCTTTCCATTCCGTCACATCAACATCTGTGGCAGAAAAAGAGATCTTTCAGGCATTTTCACAAACACAAAAAAGGCATTCTCAGTATCACACACAAAAAAACACACTCATATGAAATCATTCCAAATTCAATCAGACACAATAATCAACTTCAAAACAGCAATAGAAATAAAAATTGAAAACATTAAATGAACAGATTAACGAGGGAGTGGAAATTGACCTTAGGGGTTTCGATGATGGCAGGGTGAGTGAGGCCAAGGGCGGTGGCACGTGCGAGAGTGTGCGACATGAGCTTCGTCTTTGAGTTATAACGCTTGGGAAATAAAACAGAGTGAATCCGTTTTTGCTTCTCTACTTCAATCGCTTGTTTTCGACTTTCTTTTCTGTTCTGTTAGATTGATTTGGGGGTTTTGATTCGCGGTGGCTTGGAGTGGGTTTACAGCGGGGATTCAGATGGATTTTGGTTGGTGTTTGGTGGGTTTCGTGGAAAAGGGTTTTTCGGAGAGGAAGAGCTTGTTGAAGGTTGTTGGGGGTTTGTTCATGGAAGTTGAAAGGATGGTGAGGATTGAAGATATGGTGAGGGTTTGATGGAAGTTTGAAGATATGGTGAGGGATTGATGGTAGTTAGTTTAATGATTTGATAAATTTGTTATAAAATTGTGAAATATTTTTTGTTTGGTGGGTAATTTTAAATTTATTTTAATTATATCTATTGCAGCGCTTTAAAAAAGCACTTTCTTATGGCCTCTCTTTAGCAGCGCTTTACAAAAGCGGTTTGTTAGGGTCCCCCTTTAGCAGCGCTTTTCAAAAAGCGCTGTCTAAGGTATGCTATTTTTTTTCTTTTTTTTTAATGACTCTTTAGCAGCGCTTTTTTATAAAGCGTTGTCTTTGTATGCACTGTTAAAAGTCAATTATGGCCTCTCTTTTGCAGCGCTTTACAAAAGCGCTTTCTTAGGGCCCCCCTTTAGCAGCGCTTTTCAAAAAGCGTTGTCTAAGGTATGCTATTTTTTTCTTTTTTTTTAATGACTCTTTAGCAGCGCTTTTTTATAAAGCGTTGTCTTTGTATGCGCTGCTAAAAGTCAATTCTGGCGTAGTGTATGTTAGTATAAGTAATTTAAAGACATAACCGTCAACATAATTAAAAAATATTAGATATCATACCTGTATCTCACTCCATATTTTTTCTTTAGCCGGTTTTAACGAAGGAGTTCTCTAATTATCGCAAGTGATTGGAATTTGCGAACGAACAAGTGCTCCAATGTAACATGTCAGCATCGCACCGTTAGGCTCAATTAATTGATCAGTTTCATTCCAATGCACATCATACTTTATACCTTTATCTCTCGCACGAATGATTTTTTTTCATAATTGTTATTCCTCTTGTAATATCTCCTTCCACGTCTTGTGCTAGTTCGTTTCCATCATGTTTAGAAGTATCATGTGATTTTTCCTCGTTGGTAGCCGTAATACTTGTAATTCAGAAAAACCAAATTATAAAATAAATGAAAAATATATATGAAAAGAAAAACATATAAACAAGAAATATATAAATAAGAAAAACATATATATATAATTTTATTGAATGACATAATATGTAATTTTATTGACTGACATAATATGTAATTTTATTGAATGATATAATATGTAATTTCATTGAATGATATAATATGTAATTTTATAAGTACCTTTGTCACTAACATCTCTTTCTTTTCTTTGTTGGAACGTGGTTTACTTGTCTCTTAACAACACGGATGGATGGATTAATCCAAATTCCCTCGTTATGATCATTTCTAATATATGATTCGTCCGCTCTAATATTCTCATCTTGATCATCTATAATATAAGATTTCTTCTCAACATCAACATCACCGTGATCTCCAATGTTATCATCAATTACTTTGTTGGAAAAAAGAACTATAGACCATTTTGTACTTGTCGGATCAGTGACATAGAACACTTGTTTAGCTTGCGTGGCTAGAATAAAAGGTTGATCTTTGTACCCCTCCTTATTAAGATCCACTTGCAAAAATCCTGACTTATCCATTCGTATGCCACTATTATTTTCAACCCACTTGCATCCAAAGATAGGAATCTGAAACTTCTCATAATCAAACACCCAAATACGCTTGATAACCCCAAAATACGACATATTTGCATATTTGGGGTTTAAGTCCTTCACACTTGAAATGTGCATTGCTTCAGCAAGCACGGTGACACCACTATTTTGCATTGTACTTTTATCATCTTGTTCTTTGGTATAAAATGTGTATCCATTAATTGCATATGCGCTATAAGAAAACACATGCAAACTTGGATCATATGCTAAACATCTCAACCTTTCTGTTATTGAAGCGGGATCAGAATAAAACTTTGAAAATATATGATCCTTGAACCATGTTATAAAACTTCAATTGTGCTCACGTACTATCCAATTTTCATTTCTTTTCAGATTTAAACCTCGGAGAACGTCCTTGTAAATTTCAACATACGGCTTAACCTCAATGTCATTGTGCAGAACATACAAATGCACTTGCTCCCATTCATCCCTTGAAATTGTCACAACTTTATTTTCAATTAACTGTTTTTCTACTATTTTTTCAACAACATGAGATTTTTGGAGGCCAATGGATTGAACATTGGACAAATATTAAGTACAAAACTCAATCGCTTCTTTAACAATGTATCGTTCAAGAATACAACCCTCTAGTCGACTTTGGTTTTTCACATACCCTTTCAATATTTTCATATAACGTTCAACAGGGTACATCCATCTCATATAAGTTGGTCCACACAATTGTGTCTCTTTCACAAGATGAACAACTAGATGTACCATTATGTCAAAAAATGGTGGAGGAAAATACATTTCAAGCTCACACAAAGTAATAACTATTTATTTTTGCAATGTTGGTAATATCACAGGATCGATCAACTTACTACAAATTGACCTGAAGAAAAATCACAATTTAGTTATTGTGCTTCTCACTTTTTTTGTAAAAATAGAATGTATACCTATTGGTAGAAAGTGTTACATTATAACATGGAAATCATGTGTCTTTAAACTCTTGAACTTGAGGTCTTTCATAAAAACAAGTCTTCTAATATCTGAAGAGTATCCTTCTGGAACTTTAACTTCACTTAGAAACTTACACAATATGTTTTTCTCCTTTCTAGATAAAGTATAAGCAGCAGGTGGTAGATATGTTCGATTTCCTTTTTTCAAGGGTCCTAATTCATTTCTTATTCCCATCGCTACCAACTTCTTTCTTGCTTTAAGGTCATCCTTAGACTTTCCTTGTATATTGAGTAACGTACCAATAACACTTTCAAATACATTTTTTTCAATATGCATAACATCAAGAAAA